GCACCCTACTCAAAGACAGTCTTGCAGGGAATTCTGGGCCACATTCCTTAAAAAGCAGTTGAGGGAACTTGCAACTTGGGGTTCTCTGATAACTCAAGTAGTGAATCCAAGTTTTTGTTTCAACTGTATACCCATCAGGGTGCAGGTGGAGCTGGTGATATTTTAATAACCCTTGGGAATCACCCAGTATCTCATCAGCTTCAGTGGGCACTACACTGGCATCCATTAGATACTAGTTTATTTGAATATCTGTATTTTCTGTCCTCATAGGTTATACTAATTTAACAGAAATAACGAACTGAAATTTTATCATATTTGTTTCTAAACTAACACTTTGAACTGAAATACTTTCTCAAAGATTTTTTCCAGAATGAAGAATTCAATTAATACAATAGCTCTGAACAATATAGTAATTACTTCATGAATACTGAATGTCTTATAATTTTGCATTTTGAAATTTTTGTCTTGCTGTATTTTGTACATATGCTTATGTGTGTTAAATTAGTCTACAAATTAATTTTACATGAACACACTATTAAAATTACTTAAGATTATGCAACTATATGAATATGTAATAGAAAGGAAAATTTAAAATTATAATTTGATGGATTAGAAGACAGAACTATGGATAATTATCTAAGTTTTTAGTTTTGAATAATAATCATTGTTATCTATAAAATATTTTAAAATAAATACAGTGATGTGGCCATAAAATTGTTATAAAGAAAACTGAATCAAGGAGCCACATCAGAAAAATTGCCAACTTGTCTCACTTCGTATTTCAACAATCACATTTAGCAAATAGCACTATCTTTATGAAGCTTTTCCTAATCCTTCTACTGTTACGTCATCATCATTCCATATCCTTGCAACTAATCAAGAAGTAGAAGCAGAAACTGTCTACTGGTATGCGTTCATTTAACGTCCAACATTACTACCTGAGCTTCACTTCCCAGTGTTGCTTTGCTAAGTGTAAATTTAAAATCTACTCTGATGTAAATCTAGCCCTTTCTCACATACATGATCTGATTATTAACTTTTGGAAATTAATCCATTTGTCATTTTAATTCTAGCACTGGTACTTTTACTTATACCAATTCCACCATTTAAAATTTTTTTTTTTCATGTTTGTCTTTTAAAATGAAGCTCAGATGTTCAAAGGGAATTAACTATCCGCAGGGAAAATAATGTGTTCTTTTTGTTTCTAACACTGAGAAATCTACCTATAATTTACCTGCAATCTTATAATCAATTTTTCATTTACAAGTTTCAAAAATGTGGCATTTAAATCTGATCATTCACATGTGTGGGATGCATGCTGTTTCTAATTTTTTTTTAAATTAATTAGAAATACAGCAGAAAAGTTTTTTTTTTTTTTTTTTTTTGCTTCTGAACAAAATTGCATAAGAGCCCTAATGTTTCATCAAAGAAAAGACAATGGAAATTTCTAAATTAACCTCATGTCGACATGAGAAATAATTACAAATGTTTATTTGCAGATGGAAGTTTTTATTTTCTCAACACTTACAAATATTGTTCAAAAATATTTCCCTGCATCACAAGCAAATAAAGGCATAAATATAGACTTTTTCAAATATTGGTTCCAAATATGACCAAGTAACTAAATCATCCTTTTTAAGAATGAACCTGACAAATCAGGTTTAGTCTGCATTTCACAGATTAAATTAGCAAAGAAAAACCAGTATCTTCACAACATGTTATATATTAATAGGCCTAAACAAATCAGGCTTAATGAATTTTAAAAATTAATTCCCTGGTATTTTACCATGTTCAAATTACATTTAACAGAGAAAGTAGGCAAGCATTCCAAGATATAAATGAGGAAGCTGAGTTCCTAAGATGAAGTAACCCAAATTCCTAGAGCCATAATGGAAACCAGTGACAAAAATTCAATCATATAGTAGACCATCAACTTTCTATAAATTTAATATGGTAGCAAATATGGTACCAGCGTAAGTTTCACCAATTTTAATATTTGAGATGTACACTTTACAGAAAAAAAAGTTCAATAAAAAAGATTTCAAAGATGAACTTCTTGATATCCAACTTAGAACTCTACACAAATACAAGCCATATCTGAAACACCAACATAATAGAAGTAAACACACGATACCTTTGTACACTTATGAAACAGGACTGGTTAAAATACATCTGTTGTGAAAATTCCATTTTTTCAAACTAATCATACATTTTATTATGAGCCAAATAAAAAGAAAGGTCATTATGAACAGAAAAGTCTATTGAGCATTAGCTATGTATGACATTAACTGGAATGAAGGTAATAGATTCTATTTCCAAATGGTGTCAGAAAGAAAAAAAGACACTGAGCACATTTCTGCCCCAACATACATAGTAGATGCATTTCTACCTTTATTTGTCAAATGAAGAACAAATCTAACAAAAAACCTCTTTTGCAGTTTAATTTTTATTCTGACTATATGCAATTTGCAGAAAATTTAGAAAAGTATAAAGAAATGTCCCATAATTTTACCACCAAAAGACAACTGTCAACAGTTTGTTATTTCCTTCCAGTCTTCTTAAGACTTCCTACAGAGTAAAAACTACCTTGTAACTGAACATTACAACACGTGGAAACCCCCACTATTAAAAATTCTGAAGGTGTTTTGAAACACTTCTCCTTTTAAAATCAGACTTCTTTTCAGGTTATGTGAGGGATTATCAACAGACCTTAAAGAATACCTGTTAAGCTGGGAAGACTAACTTAAAAGGAATTCCTGCATTAGGGTCCTCTGGGCAAAAAACTTATTTTTTAAAAATTAGGGAATGCAAATCTCAAATAATTCCTGAGTTTTCAGATGATGTATACATTAGCTCTTAATTTATCAACTTAGTTAGATCAATGATAATCATTTACAGCTATTTTAAGCTTTTCCCTTTGCAAAATTCCTGCATACTATCATTTCATTTATATTAAGCTATGATAGGTAAACATTCTCATACTAACGATGTAGAAAACTGAGGTACAAAGAGATTAAATATTAAATAATTTAACAAAATTTACCCAAGCAATTTAGAAGAACAGAACCAAAAAATAAAGTATTTTAATTACCGGAACCATTTCTATTTGTGTTGATGTTTATGTAAATTGACACAGTGAAAGAGAAATGTATTTGTTAAAATGCTCTGGTAAAAAAATTATATTAAACCTTAAAAAAATGAAGTAATGTTGCATGTTTGATTAGACCAGCCTTTTCTAAAAACAAGGCAATCCCTCAGTTGGAAGGGAGACATGTAACTGATCCTATACTGTGCCAAGATTTTTTAAAATAACATGATACAAACACTACCAGATCTAGAAACAAGCAAAAAAAGAGTACTCAGCCTATGGAGTAATACGCCTTGGTGCCTCAATGCACCTTATATTCTTTGTGTCTCAATTTCCTTACCTTTGAACTGGGATAACAGTGAACTATCTTAGCTGATTGTAGTGAAGATTCAAGGAGGTAATAAACACAAACCACTTAGTCTAGTCGTGCCTGCCACAAAGTAAGCCCTAAGTGCTAGTGATACATATAAGCCTGCTTTTCCCACTACCAGGGGTGAAATACATACATAAGTTCTGAAACTACAATGAAGAGAAGGATTTCACACTTTAATATATTAAATGCTGATGATGTTCAGCAATTTAAGAAGACGATCTAACTAAAACCTAAATGCTAAGCATCTAAATTTGCAGTTACTCTATAGAGAAATGTGGCTAGATCTAAGGGGTCAGTGTGCCAAATACGTTTTTTCTCTATAGATTATATTTCCACATGTCTGTCAAAGTTCAGTTTCTTAATGAGAGGCCATGATTCCATGCTTTACTGAAAACCATGACAGCACCCTACAGCTGGGCTTGGTCGGGCAAGGTGGCTTGCACCTGTAATCCCAGCACTTCGGGAGGCTGAGGTAGGAGGATCACCTGAGGTCGGGAGTTCGAGATCAGCCTGGCCAACACGGTGAAACCCCCGTCTCTGCTAAAAATACAAAAATTAGCTAGGTGTGGTGGCGGGCGCCTGTAATCCCAGCTTCTTGGGAGGCTGAGGCAGAGATTGCAGTGAGCTGAGATGGTGCCACTACACTCCGGCCCGGGCAACAGAGCGAGACTCCGTCTCACAAAAACAACAACAACAACAACAACAAACGCAAACCAACAAAAAACTGGCTTTAAAGGCAGAGAACCATTTTCTGTTTTAAAAAACCCTCTTTTTAGCAATATGTAGTAATCCAATCCTTAACCTTCCCACTACAATCAAATGGAAAATGCAACGGAAAAGTCTGTTCAGAAGCCGATTCCCAACTGATCCACAAACGGCGGCACGCCGCCGGAGAACAGCGCCGACAGGGAGGAGAAGGCGGCCCCGCACGCGCTTGCCACGGTCACTATCTAGTGGACGCGTTTTGCTTGTTCCGGAACGGGCTTTTCAAGAACCGCACGCGGAGGAAAAGTTTTCTCACTTTCTGAAAGGGCGGCACGCCGCGCTGGGCCCGTGAGCGCCGCGCTGGGCCGGACCCCGCGCTGGCCCCGGCAGCGCAGCGCAGCGGCCTCGGTGCCGGGGGACGGTGAGAGCGCGCGCGGAGTCCGGGACGCGGGGGCCGGCGGCGAGCACCCGCCTCCGAGCCCGCGCGCCCTCCCGGGGGCGACCACGCCGCGCGCCCCCCCCGCGCCAGGAGGCTGCGTGACCCGCCCGCCTTCCCGCGGGTCCGTCCGTCCGCCCGCGCGCGCGCAGCCCACCTGGAGGCCCCACCCCACCGCGGGCCTCGCGTCCCTCTTCTCGGGCAAGTCAACGGCCTCGCCGAAGGGAGCCGCGCCAGGGCGGACGGACGCCCGAGAGCTCGGCGCGCCCGGGGCCCGGGGGGGCCTCGTCCGCCGCACCGCGCCCCCTGCAGCGCCCGCAGACGCCTCCGCGGCCGGGACCCCGCGCCCCCGCGCCCCGAGGGAGGCGCCCGCGCCGCCGTCCCCGGGGGCCGCTCACCTTGCTGGGCGCCGGCGGCCTCGAGCAGCAGGAGCAGGACGAGCGGCAGCCGCAGGAGCCCGGGCCTGGAGCCGGCGGCGGAGGCGGGGCAGGGCGGGAGCGCGGCCCGGGCGGGGGCGGCGGCCGCGGCCCGGAGCGGGGCACAGCGCGGGCGGCGCCCGGCTCTCACCGCCGCCAGGCTGGGCATCGCGGCGGCCGGCGGTCCGCCCGCATAGTGCGGGCGCCCCGGGAGCCCCGCGCGCCTCCGGCCGCGGCGCCCGACCCGGAGACCGCGCCGCGCCGGGACCCGTCCGCCCCGCTCCCGGCGTCGCCCCCGCCGCCTTCGTCCCTTCCCCCCGCTCCCCGCGCCGAGACCCCGGGCCGGAGCGCAGGGGAGGGGCGGGGAGGCAGCGGAGCGCTCGGGCGGCGGAGGGCGGCCGCCGCGGGGCTGAGGGACGCGCCTCCCGCGCCGCGCTCCTCGCGCGGTCCCCGCTCGCCGCGCTCGCCCGCGGCTCTGGCTCCCGTGGCGGGCCGGCCTCCCGCTCCCTCGCGCTCCCGCCCGCGCGCGCGCCGGCCACGCCCCCTCGGCGTCTCGGCCAACCCGCGGCCAGCTCCTTCCGCGAAGCCCAATCAGCACGCTCGCTCCTGGGTCGACCCGCCAGCTCCCCGCCCCCTCCGCGAGCGCCGCCGCCCCTTATCCGCCTCCGCCAATCCCCGCCGGCCTTCGGACGCGTCCCTCCCGCCTCCTCCACTCCGGGCCCCGCCCCCGAGCCCCGCAGCCCGCGGCCCCCGCCCGCCCCGGCGCCTCTTATTGTTGGGACCCGCCGCGCGGATCCCGCAGGGGCGGCCGAGCTCGGCGCCGACTTCCGGGGCGCCCCCACCTGCGCGCCCTGCTCCCCGGGCCCCGCGCGCTCCCGGCTCCTCGGCCGCACCTCGGGCCGCCGGCAGGGGTGGGAGACCCGGACCCTGGGTGGCTTAGCTGGGAGCTGAGTCTGAGGGACTTTTTTTTTTAGTGGCAGAGCGTGGTCTGTTTTGTTGAAACTGATGCCAGTTGTGGCGACAACTCCGAGTTTCAGTAACAGATGCGATGTTCGATTTTTAATACATGTGTTCCCTGTTTTCTCTGCCCTTTTATGGCGGGGAAGGGAGGGGGAAGAAAAAAGTATAAAACAAGATTCGTGCCCCAAAGGCCACCAGACCTAACGTCCTAACCCTCATTCAGCCATTCTGCAAGGAGTTGTTGAGCACCTGCTATCTATCTGCAAACGTTGCTACAGAAATCTTGAAATGTGGAACAGAGATGGAAATACAGCAAGCAAGTCAGAATGAAGTGCGTGCGAATTAGAGTCACAAGCGATTTGATGGCGACTGTAAGCCTATGGAAGGACAATAAAGAATTTTGGGGAAGAGAAATGCAGAGGTCTACGCAGTGATTTATTTTAGAGAGAAAAGCGTGGCTATCTAGGTTGTTTTTAACAGCAGCCCCTAAAGGGACAATAGTGTCATTAACAAATACAAAAAACTGGAAAAGTGGAACAAGTTGTGTGGGAAAGTAAGTTAATTTTGGACATACTGAATTTGAGATGCCAACTTAGATAATAAGTGAAACTATGTAACAGGCAGATGGACATTTTAGTCTAAAGCTCAGATGAGTGCTTTGAAATTATGGCTCTGGAAGTCATACATAGATGTGATAATCAAAAACCTAGAAGGGACTGATACCCTCAAATGAAAATCTACGTTGGAAAGGTCTTTGGAGGTTGTATTTTTCAACTCCCCTGCATCTTTCTCGTACAATAATCTCTGACCAAGTTTATTCAATAAGCATTTATTAAATACCCAAGAAACCCTACTATGGTCTAAGCCATTGTGGGCATTGGGCATAAAAAGTTTAATGAGAAGAGCTTACACTCTGGAGGACGAGGTGACATGTAAACCAACCTATTGTTATTAGTATTGTGTCAGAGGTGTGGACTGCTGCCACAATACCACAGTGAGAGGAGTTCAGAAAAACCCATCACACTTTGAAACTCCAGTGTCTTGAATAAGAAACGGAAGTGAAAAAGGTGATCTCAGGCCAGAGGCAAAATAGGCTGGATGAGAGGCTCAAGCGGGAATGGCGTTGATGGGGCTGGATTGACTACTGCTGACGTAATGGAGGGACTGGAGGCTGGTCCAGAAAAGTTAGGAGGGACAAGATCTAAGGCAGGATGAGTCAAGATTTTATTTTGTATCACCGAAAAATAACTAAAGGGTCCTAAGAAAGAATGACATTATCCAATTTTTAAAAATTTTTTATTATATTTTTTTAATGGAGCTTCACTCTTGTTTCCCAGGCTGGAGTGCAATGGTGCAACCTTGGCTCACTGCAAGCTCTGCCTCCCAGGTACCAGGGATTCTCCTGCCTCAGCCTCCCAAATAGCTGGGATTACAGGCATGCACCACCATGTCCGGCTAATTTTGTATTGTTAGTAAGAGATGGGTTTTCTCCATGTTGGTCAGGCTGGTGTTGAACTCTTGACCTCAGGTGATCGGCCTGCCTGGTCCTCCCAAGGTGCTGAGCTTACAGGCCTGAGCCACCGCACCAGGCCGTTATCAGGTTTTTATTGTAAAAACCCCAATCAGACAGTAGGGTAAGGAATGCACTGGGGGAAGAGCAAGACTGGAAGCCAGGGAGAGCCAGTCTGCAGTTAAAGGGAGTGATGGTGAGTTTTTACTGCATTAGCAGTAAGCTTGGAAAGCGGGAACCAACTAGTGGAATATTTTTAAACTTAGAGACTGATTACATGTGGGGTTGAGGAAGTCTTCAGCTTTCTGGTAAAAGGTAGTATCTTTCCCATAGTAAGGAGTACAAGGAGAATTGGATAAAGAAGTAGAAGACAGGCTGAACCTATCAAACATGATGTGCTAATATGGCAAGCAATCAGTTGTGAAATAAGATTTCTAGTAATAGACAGTGAGAAAACCTATTTCGTGTTGAATCACTTTTTTTTTTTTTTTTTTTTTTTGAGACGGACTTTTGCTTTTGTTGCCCAGGCTGGAGTGCAATGGCACAATCTCAGCTCATCTCAACCTCCACCTCCCAGGTTCAAGTGAGTCCCCTGCCTCAGCCTTCCGAGTAGCTGAGATTACAGGCATGCAGCACCACGCCCAGCTTATTTTTTGTATTTTTAGTAGAGACAGGGTTTCTCCATTTTGGTCAGGCTGGTCTCGAACTCCCAACGTCAGGACATCCACCCGACTCAGCCTCCCAAAGTGCTAGGATTACAGGTGTGAGCCACGGTGGACGGCCTGAATCACTCCTTTCATAGGATCATTGAGAAAGAAGCTTGAGGTCACAGGGGTGGTGACAGAGCAAGGTATTATGAGTCTTAGCCTGGCATTCTATTGACTACATAGAACTGCAGCAGAGGCGAACAATTCACTTAAGACATAGCACAGTTATCGATACTTTCTGGAAGAGGCAAAATTTGGTCTCTAGCAACCCCTACCCTTTAATATAGCATGAAAAGACCAAAATTTTCTCCTGGGACCTCACACCAAAGGAATATAACAGGCTTTCATTTCCAACACAATGCCTGGGTAAAGTGGAATTCTAGTTTATATTACCTTTCTTACCCTCTGCATGCTGCTCTAAACAATTTGTCATGATCCTTGCTCCCGGGGACTTAGCTTATTTGGAGATTGACATCTTATGAGGCAATGGGAGCCATGTTTGTCCAAGACCGTTTTACCCACACAATCCAGATGCGTGACCCAGGGGAAGAACCGGGGATTCTAACGGAGTCTCAAAGTGGGGAGGTTTGGAGAGGGCCATCACTGTAGTAGATAAAGGGTCCCACGAGATAAAATTCCTCCGCAAGGCAAGCCCGGGTTCCTGCTGCTCTCCACAGAGTTTCAAAATGAAAGGAGCTTTAGAGGATCCCTTAGGTATAGAACCAACAGAGCAAATCCAAACTGAGCAGTGTCTTCATAGCACATGAGTTCATTGACGTAGACCAGATCTTGTAGCAGTCATGATCCATTCTTCGTCTGGCAAATGAGTTAATTGTTTGGATGTAGGATTTAAGGAAGACTTGCATTTCAGGAAAGGATCACATGGAATAGTTAGATATGAAATTCCAGGAATTAAAGTGTATACCCTTTTGATGTATTTATGATTGTTTACGCTACATTACAATATTGAAAAATAAAAATAGATTCTAGGCCGGGTGTGGTGGCTCACACCTGCAATCCCAGCACTCTGGGAGGCTGAGGCAGGTAGATCACAAGGTCAAGAGATTGAGACCATCCTGGCCAACATGCTGAAACCGCATTTCTACTAAAATTACAAAAATTAGCTGGGTGTGGTGGTGTGCACCTGTAGTCCCAGCTACTCAGGAGGCTGAGGCAGGAGAATCGCTTGAACCCAGGAGGTGGAGGTTGCAGTGAGCCAAGATTGCACCACTACACTCCAGCCTAGCAACAGAGTGAGAATCCATCTCAAAAAATAAAAAGTAAAAAATAGATCCTCAACCTAAATTTTAATTCACCAGACCTTTCTTCTCTTTTTATTTTTTCTCTCTTTTCTTTCCTTATTTCTTTATTTTATGTTTCTTAATCATTAAAGAGTGGAAGACTAAAGACAATTTAATTAATCTATAGAGAAAAGGGGAAATATAAAAAGAATAGTTACACTCTACTATTCCTATGTTCAAATGATTCCCAGTGCAGCCAACAGCTAAGGAAATGAAAATGGATGAAAAGAACCCGGGGGCTGGTGCCTTTGTTTCTGTCTGTACGGAGACATCTGGGTTTTAGGAGAATGATATGGTAAGAATCATTTGGTACCATCATGGCTATTAAATGTCTGTTAGCATGAATGAAACAAAAGAGGCTCATTTAAAATGGCATTTGTACTGGAAACCTTAGGATGATGGTATGTGATGAATCACTGGTGAGCTTTATCAGTGAGTGTGGATTTTTGGCAGGATAACAGAAATAGGGAACGAACAAGAATGTACTTTTGTGATCTTCCAGGCGGGTAGGAGAAAAAGAAGATTGTGGCACTTCTGGGGAAATACTTCAGACTTCAAAGACCAGAGCCCTAAGATCTGGTTACCGTTCTCACAGGAGCGTTTTCTTTGTCCTGTTGACTGCTTGGGAAAATGTTTACAGCCAACTTTGTTGCTATTATAAATGTCTGAATTCTACTGAAGATACTTTCTTCCTTTCTGTGAACAGAAGTGGTTTGGATACATTTTTCTCTATCTTGTATGCTTTTTTCAGTTA